AAGATTACAGGGAACATTGATGGGCACCCAGCACACTGGAACCAAGGAATTTTGCTCCAATGGTACTCACAGAGTGGCAGCACTCTCTTTCTCTTTCTCTCTCTCTCTGTGGCCATAGTACCTGTCTTGGCTACCTGAGGTGGCACCACCCTGACTCCTCTCATTCCTTCACAATGAATGCCCAGAGACTAGACTCAGATGCAGAGAAGATGGACATAGGGTTGTGGAATACATTTCTGCATTACATCTCGAAGAATCAGTGTTACAGTAAGTAACACTTTAGTCTTCAAGCAGATGCAGCCATGTATTCCACTCAGGTGACTCGTAAGCAAAACCTGCCCCTGGAAGCCAGGCTGAGTCTACTTACACAAGGAGGGAGAGACTGCCCTACTAAAACTTGCATCTTCCCCAGAAAATGCAATAATGACATAACGGCGCAGATTTAGAAATGTATGTATGGACAACTGCACAACTGCCATGCAAATGCCTAATTCTGAGATGTCACTGAAAAACACTACTGATATTGCTATCATTCTATAGAATGAGCTCACACCTAACGATGAGGCAAAGCCACGACTATTTAATATGCCATCTTGACACAATGTTATCCATTAGAGATTCTGTGAAGACAGCACTTGCCCCTTCATACAATCTGTACATGACACAAACAGGAAAGGTGAAGCACAGAACAATTGAGTCTTATACAAAGAGAAGGCTTAGTATTACCTGACATCTAATTTATAGCGACATTGCTCCTCTAGAAATGTATACTTTCCTAGGCTGCATTCAAGTAAATATATTCTATGGTTCAAATGAAATTGAGATGTTACCTTACACAAAAATCGCGTGTGCTCGTAAAGTCTCTTGGTCCTTGGAGAACTGTGTATTAGGAGGTTCAAACTTTAGAACTTGGAACTTACACACACTTCTTGCGGATCTTATTGCTATCAGGAATATAGGCCACCCACACCACTTCCCCTGAACCCTCTCGCCCCCACCCCACCGCCCAATCCCCAGCTCTGACTCCTGCACCCTTTCGCCCTGCCCCGAGCTCCCCCACACCTCCCAATGTCCTGTCCTGAGCTCTCCATCCCCTGACTTCTGCAACACCACCTCCTGCCCTGAACCTCTCCTTTCTCCCCAACCCTAACTTCTGCACACCCCACAACACCAGTTCCCTGCCTTGAGTTCCCCACAGACCGTCCCCCCACACCCTCAACTCCCTGCCCTGAAGGACCCAAGCATCGCTAAGTAAATCTTTTAGCATATTACAAATGTATTTGGGTATTTTTCTATATTTTCAAATATAAATGGGCTTCAATTACAACAGAATACAAAATGTATAGTGCTCATTTTATATTATTTTTATTAGAAATATTTATACTGTAAAAAACAAACAAAGGTTGAATCTCTATAATCTGGACTGGTCTAGCAATGCTCTGGGGTCCTGCCCAACATTTTTTTTTACGAGTGCACTACCGCCCTGAAATATCCTCAAGGTCACCAGTGATGCTGGATCAGGGTGTTGCCAGACTAGGGAAGTCAGGATTACAGAGGTTCAACCTGTACTAATTAGTTATATACAACTAGAAAAGTCAGTAAAAAGTTGAGAAGTTGTGAGAACAGAAACCACTCAGAGCTGCCACTCCAGCGATAGGCAGTATGAAGAAATTGGGGAGAAGCCAGTCAAGCAGTGGTATCTCAAATAGCCAACAGAAGGGCTATGATCACCAGGTATGAACACTGATCATCTATGGGAGCTGGTAGGCAGTTATCTGGCTCCAATACTAGACATGTGCACACACCTAAGTGGAATACATGACTGTCCTTTTCCTTATAAAAACAATTTTGAAAATAAAAGGGACCATGTTTTTGTACACTAAGGAAAATAATTTCATACCCAGCTAGAACAGAATACACACCTTAATACAAATCGCATTCAAATTAGAAAATTTACCTGGCTGAGAACTGTATCTGCTTCTCAGGCTGCCAAACATATTCAGTCCGTCAGAGCTACCTACCCAACATTAAGTGGGCTCTTATTGGAAAAAAAAAAAAAAAAAAAACAACCAAAGCCCTGTTTGTTGAATTGTGAATACTGAGAACCAGATTCTGATCTCAACTGACATTTGGCTTTGAATCAGTATGAACTGCACTTGATTTAAACCAGCAGAAATGAAAGCATAATCAGGCAATAGTTGCTTTCACAAGAACACTACCAATGTTCTTGGCTGACCACTTTTGCTCATTGAATAAAACCTAAAGCTAACGATTTTAGTTATTTGGTACCCCACTGACTTCCAATTCCTGTTGGAAAATGTGTTAAATTAAAATGTGTCTCAATAATTCCCTGAAATAGACTGCTGCCTGATACTTAATGCAGTATAATTTTATATTTCAACAAAATTAATTTCCATGCACATTATATTCTTGAACATATGTTAAAAAAAATTGAAAGAACACTGTGATATAAAATACTCAAAGGGTCAGGGAACAGGGCAGAACAATGTGGTAAATTCAATCACCAAGGCTCAATCATTTAATAAAAGCAGCAGCACCACCACCGTCAAATGTAAAAACAAATTATTTTTGAAGATTTATCATCCCTTAATTTAAGGTCAGAATAGAGAATTATAATGGTCCCTTTCGGCCTCAGTGTCTGTGTAGATATGAATATTAAAAAGGTTGAAAAATGTTTGAATGTTTTTGCTTAGTTTGCTGCAAGTAGAACAAATATCTGGCTTCTAGATTTGTCTTTCTTTAGCTGTCTAACTGAACAGCCTCTTTCCAAACTAAGAGGCTACTAGAGAACATTTCCCACTAAGATGTCACAAACCTCCTCCAGGAAAAAAAAACATTAAGGAATTTTCCATCTCATAGGTAGCCCTCTGTTGTATACCTATCTAAATACACCAAATTAAACCATTCTGAATAGTGATTGCTTGAAAGTACAGTAATTTAGTTCAACAAAAATTCATAAGGCGTTCCTAAAATCTTGACATTAATGTGTATACATAGCAGTTTTACTGTACCATTTAAGTGTAACAGAAAAATTAGCTTATAAACTGAGCCAAATTCTCAGAGGATTAATCTGTATCTGTAAAAACAACAGAGTCCTGTTGCACCTTAGAGACAAACAGATTTATTAGGGCATAAGCTTTTGTGAGTAAAACCCACTTCATCAGAAGAATTGAAGTGGAAGTTACAAAAGCAGGAGTATATATAAAGAAGATGTTTGTGTTAACTAGACCAATTGCTTGAAGCTGTATAAGCAAAAATTGTGAAGAGGCATTTTTAAGAGGACAGACATCTCAACCTCCCTTTTAGCACATAATATTTAGCTCACACCATTTGCAGCTGCAGAAATTAATTGTGGGTGGCAGCCTGAGTACTTATGCCTCTAACTTCCTAATCTGCACCAACAATTGATCTTTGTACATGCAAATTCTGCAGACAATTTGCTTTCACAAAAACAAAAAACGCAAAGACGCAGTTCTTTAACTGCTGAAACTCTTAAGCTGCCACTGAAATCTTTGCTCAACCGTTTTCCTGACGGCAATATGTTGCCAGTGAGGGAAGATGGAATGAGCCTTTTATTTCAAAGCCTTTCTTCATCCAAACCACCTTATGAATTAGTGTTCTACAGGTGTGTCAATTTGAAAACAGCAATGACTAGAAAGACAAGAGACACTTACACATGTTTACCCATGCATGAGTCGTTTTCAAAAGTGTTTACTCAAAAAGAGCCTGCTTCTGGCAAAGGCTTGATCCTTCTCTAGTTGAAATCAACCATCAAGTTGACATCAACTTCAACAGATTTTGTCTGATTCCTGAAGCACGGACTGGAGTGGAAAGAAACAAACTTAAAAACATATGATCACTTAATAGATGAAGACAAAAAGTAAAATCAATATATAGATTATTAATACCTATTATCTCTAATTATCCATGTGCAGCTTTCATGGTCAATAGATGAATAGAGCTTTCCTTCCAACAAAGGAGACTGATTTTTCAATGCTACAATGATACCCTCAGGAGGAAACTGTATTTGTATGTCATCTTTAGTGATGTCTTGTGGAAGGTGAATGGTTACTGTCAAATCATCTTCAGTCTGTTGCCAGTAATAGACAGGGTCTACAAATGGAAACATGCAGAAATGCAAAGTCAGTTACAAAATGTAAAGTATATGGCTGATGGGAGAGAAAACAAATGTGGTAAAGTGTGTGTAGTCACTTTCCACTCTAAAAACTCTGTATGAAAGCTATTCTGATCACTTATTTAAAAAAATATAAACACTATTTGCTAGCTACCAGGAGGAATTTAACCACAGTTTACTTGTGTCTCAGTTATGGAAACATGCTTACCTTCATGTTAATACGCAGATGCACACTCAGGAGCACAATACAAATATGACTTGTAGTTTTTAATATTTTTCACTAGTCATAACTTTATTAACACAATACACAAATTTATTCAAATAAGCACCTCTCAGTGAGCACTAATCCCATTATGTAGATTCAGCACCTTTTGAATTATCTTCATAATGCCATAATAATAGTGGTTCTTTGAAATGTGTCATTCAAATATAATCCACATGAGGTCTGAATCCTGTTACATAAGCATTCATTGGAGCCATACCTACACCAAGATTGCCCTGGGGCATACCATAGGCAAAAGAATAAAAGGCAGGGTAGCAATAACTAGTCCTCAATCTCCAAACTACAGAATCCAGCTCAGAAGGAGGGTGGGTTGTGGAAATGCATGTGTCCATTTAGGTACGAGGAAAAACCTAACTATGAGAGTAGTTTTCCAAGAGAAATTCTGGAATCCCCAACATCGTTAAGTCTCTTACTAAAAGCTGTAAAGCACTTTTCAGATATGGTCTTTTTACATGACCTGCATCAGCACCAGAGGCTGGACTTGATTTCTTGAGTTCCATTCTACCGCTACATTTCTATGACTCTTAGTCAACACAGCACAAAAACCAATTACTGTACTGTAAATAATGGTCCAGTTTTGGAGTGGCTGTCCATATGGACTCCATATTAGATGACTATAAGAAGCAGCAGCAGTAGGAATCTCATGTCCTGGAAATGAGTGCTCAGAGTCTAGTGCAGTGATTTTCAAACTAAGAGTTTGATCAGCTGTGCAGCAGCTGACCCTTTAAAATGCTGCCTCTGGCATTTCAAAGGAGCAGCTGCCGTGGAGCCCGGGTTCTGGGGAAATGCTGCGTAGAGCCCAGGATCAGCTGGGAAGTCCCCACCTAACCCTGGGCTTCATAGATACCCCTTTGAAATGCACGGAGGATCAGAAGTGTGGCGGCCACCCCTTTGAAATGCCACCTCCGCGCGGTTCAAAAGGGCAGCCGTGGAGCCGGGGGAGAGGGGGTCAGCTGGGGACTCCGTGCGGTATGAAGCGTAGCATGGAGCTTGGGGCCAACAGGAGACACTGAGTCCCCTGCTGATCCCAAGCTCCATGTCTTTGAAATGCACAAGAGCCCCTGCTGGGGACTCTTGTACATTTCAAAGCAGGCAACGGCATGCAGCCCAGAGTCAGGGGGCCTTCCCAACGGCCCCAAGCTATACAAGAGTTCCACATTCCTCCTTTGAAATGTACAAGAGCCCCTACCCCTGCTGGGGCTCTTGTACTTTTCAAAGGAGGAATGTGGAAGTGTCTATCAACTAGTCAATGGAAATTCCATCGACTAGTCAATTAACCGCATTTTAACATCCCTAGTTCAGAACCGTCTCTTACACTTCAAACACCTCATCTCTGTCCCACCCTAGATGGGGAATGCACTCCCAGATGGGGACTGCACCCACTCTGAACCACTCCTTCCCACCAGGCCAGACCTTCTTCTCCCATGCTGAACCCTCTGCAACTACCTCCTCCAGCCTGCAACACTCTGTTATACTCTAAAACCTCATCTTACCTCACCACAGAGCCTGCACACCCAGATGGAGCCTTCTCCTCCCCACAAAAAACCCACACACCATCCCCATCTTAGCCCTACCCCATAGCCGTCACTCTAGTCAAAAGACATACTTATGTTGGGTTGTGGTGTCAACAATTTTCTTCAGCTGGGTCACAAGGAAAAAAGTTTGAAAACCACTGTTCTAGTGAATCCATGGCTAAGACAGCTCTGACAAAGTGGCCATTAGATCTGGAACCCTCTACTAAGGAGTAGTCCTGGGTGAACTTGTGAATTGAACTCTGGTTAGCTGCATTACAAATGCCCAAGATTGGAATGTCCATTAGGGAAGCGGCAGAGGCTGCTTGAGATCTAGTGGAATACATTCTAACTTGTGCAGAAGGCCAAGTCAAGGTGCTGCACAGCAAAAACTAATACAGTTTATCACCCATTTAGATAACTTTTGGGTGGTTATTCATAGAATCATAGGACTGGAAGGGACCTCGAGAGGTCATCGAGTGCAGCCCCCCGCCCTCAAGGCAGGACCAAGCTCCGTCTACACCATCCCTGACAGATGTCTATCTAACCTGTTCTTAAATATCTCCAGAGAGGGAGATTCCACCACCTCCCTTGGCAATTTATTCCAATATTTGACCACCCTGACAGTTAGGAATTTTTTCCTAATGTCCAATCTAAACCTCCCTTGCTGCACTTTAAGCCCATTACTCCTTGTCCTGTCCTCAGAAACCAAGAGGAACAAATTTTCTCCTTCCTCCTTGTGACACCCTTTTAGATATTTGAAAACTGCTATCATGTCCCCCCTTAATCTTCTTTTTTCCAAACTAAACAAGCCCAGTTCACGAAGCCTGGCTTCATAGGTCATGTTCTCTAGACCTTTAATCATTCTTGTCGCTCTTCTCTGTACCCTTTCCAATTTCTCCACATCTTTCTTCAAATGTGGCACCCAGAACTGGACACAGTACTCCAGCTGAGGCCTAAATAGTGCAGAGTAGAGTGGCAGAATGACTTCACGAGTTTTGCTTACAACACACCTGGTGATACAACCTAGAATCATATTTGCTTTTTTTGCAACAGCATCACACTGTTGACTCATATTCAACTTGTGGTCCACTATGACCCCTAGATCCCTTTCCGCCATGCTCCTTCCTAGACAGTCGCTTCCCATCTTGTATGTATGGAACTGATTGTTCCTTTCTAAGTGGAGCACTTTGCATTTCTCTTTATTAAACTTCATCCTGTTTACCTCTGACTATTTCTCTAACTTGCTAAGGACATTTTGAATTATGTCCCTATCCTCCAAAGAAGTTGCAACCCCACCCAGTTTGGTATCATCTGCAAACTTAATAAGCGTACTCTCTATCCCAATATCTACATCATAGATGAAGATATTGAACAGTACGGGTCCCAAAACAGACCCTTGCGGAACTCCACTTGTTATCCCTTTCCAGTAGGATTTAGCACCGTTAACAACAACTCTCTGACTACGGTTATCCAGCCAATTATGCACCCACCTTATCGTGGCCCTATCTAAGTTATTTGCTGATCCTCCAATCAGCAGGGCTCACCAAGCTGCAGCGAGCCCTGCTCGCCAGCCGCACTGTCCGGCATTCTGCGCATGCGCAGATCGCCCAAACCCAGCTCTTCCAGGATGTAATCAGGATGTAATCAATTACATAGATTGTTGAGCTCTGACAATCAGTATAGATATGTCAAGAACAAGTTTTGTTAAACCAAATCAATAGCTTTCTTTGATAGGGTAACAAACCTCGTGAATGGCGGAAAGGCTGTAGATGTGGTGTATCTTGACTTTAGTAAGGCTTTGATGTTCCTTGCATGACCTCCTCATAAACAAAATAGGGAAATACAACCTAAATGGAGCTACTATAAAAGGTGAGTGCCTGACTGGTTGAAAAACAATTCCCAGAAAGTAATTTTCAGTGGTTCACAGTCACACTAGAAAAGCATATAAAGTGAGGTACCACAGGGATCGGTTCTGGGTCTGGTTCTGTTTAATATCTTCATCAATGATTTAGATAATCGCATAGAGAGTACACCTAAAGTTTGCAGACAATACCAAGTATGTAAAAGGCCATTGCATGGAGCAGAGAGACAAATTGTTCTCTTTAACCTCGGAGGAGCAAGGACAGTTTAGACTGGACATTAGGGAAAAATTTTGTCAGGGTGGTTATTCACTGGACTAAATTGCCTAGGGAGTTTATGGACACTCTGCCATTTAAGAGGTTAGATAAACACCTGTCAGAATAGATAATACTTTGCCTTTGCAGGAGTGCAAGGGACTGAACTAGACAACTATTTTCTTTCCAGCCCTATGATCTTATAAAAACAAAACCCAAGCACACCTATTAGCAAGGCTCGACAAACTACAGAATCTACTCACTCATGGCGAGTACATTTCAGCCGTGTGCCCCATTTACCACACAATGCAATTCTTGCGCATGTGCAGTGTGGGGCTAGAGAGCAGCTTTCGCCGTCGTTTGTCAAGCCCTGCCTATTAGAATTATCCTGTGTATGTTTCTGGCTTCCTTTAGCTACCACTTTATGGAAAGTATGAAATATACATCAGTGAACCTCAGCAAACATTTTCACGTGAAAATAAACCCTAAGCAGTGTTTTCTGTAAAATAGTCCACTAATGTTCCTGTTTAGAATATACCAAACAGGCAAACCGATATAACCACCTGTAGAGAGAAGAACTTTTATTTTTAAAAGAAAGGATTTGAAAATGACTTTTAGAGGTTATTTAGGATGGAAACAGTCACTGGTGCACAGTTCAGAAAAACAAGAGTCAATCTAATGAACATGGCTCTGATTCAAACAACTGACGAAGTCAGTGAGAAGACTCCAATGGACATTATCGAGCTTTTGATCAGGCCCTCTGCTAACCGATAAAATCATTCACAGCATAGTGATGATTAAAACATTTGGAAGATTTTGTCTTCCTGACGAGCTAATAGTTGCCCATCATACTACAGACCTGCACATGATAAGGTTCGAATTCAGTGAATGACTTCCTTTCACAGATACTACTGCAATTACTATCTTTCTTACTACATGTGTAATACTCATTTTTCATGCAAAGGCAAGGAAAGCATAAACTTTACATGCCTTCTGCAGAGCAAAACTTCACACAGCTTTATGCTCAAAGCCTCTTCTAAAGTAAAAAGGCAAATACTGTATACAAAGAGAAAATACAGACATAAAATAATATATCTAAATCTCTCTGTTTGAGAAGTAAACATTTACAATGAAATTTAAGATATTGAAAAAAATATTGACCTAATAGATATATGGAAATTTATTAACCTATCTAGCATTTTATTATTGTGTATAATAAAGGATGATCAGAATAAATATTACCTTTCTTTTCATCTGCTATTTTCCCATCTTCATTTTCTTCAAGCTGGTTCTCCTCATCCTTCATAAATCTGAAGGGCTTGTAGGAGACAATCATTAGAGCATCTCCACCTGGTTCTATAGCTGCATAATGAGGGACTGATTTTCCTTGGAGAACTCTGCGCTTGAAGATTTCATATATTTTATTATCTGTAAAAGGAATACAAAACCCAGAAAAGTAATATTTTCTAGTAGAAAACAATTCAATTATAAATGTGACAAATGGAGTGTACTTAAAATTATACAATCACATCAGTCAGTTCATAATATCACAAACCTGAAAACAACAGTTTAACTCTATCCTGAATACCAGAAATCTGCTACACAAACCAATATCCAGCAGCCGTAGCAGACTGACATTGATCAGGACTGAAATTAAAGCCCCGTAATTAGGTACATTATACATCGTGTTCCCAAATATTTTTTTTAACCTCCCACATTAGTCACTACTAGAGACATGATAAATAAAAGAATTAGACTTTCATTCCAATACGATAATTATTTCTCATTTGTACTTCTGTAGCAACTGGAGTACTAGGCAGGATAGGTTTGCACTGTCCTTGTTTTGTAAATTTGCTGCCAGCTAGTCTGCCAATCGGGTTTTTAACATTGTGAGTTTCTGGTACATGCTTATTTACAAGTAAGTGTTTAACATGCACACAAGGTGTTATTATCATGGTTTATTACATTTACAGTGGAGGAATTTACTCACAGTAATCCATAAGCTCTGCTCTGAGTTTAAACATGCATTAAAAATGTCATATTTCAAAGTATCAATCACACAATTAAGCTGTGTGTTTAAGTTATGGCCAGTTTTTATAGAGTAGTATGAAAATGTTAACATATTATGACAGTCAAACTGTGTGATGAATCATATAACCTGAGTATTCAAAATGCATAATACAATTTCAGAAAGAAAAAAAACCAACCACCTTCCAGATCTGGCCTACATCCAGGGGATGACTGTGGCACAGTTACAAATACTACTTCATTTCCTATTTACACATATTACTGTTCACATATATATATTATGTGAAATTATCCTAGCCCCCTGGACAATGAAAATTCATTATGGGAGTGCACAAAACATCTCTTTCTCTTGAACATGTGGATTCTGTCTTAGTAATGACATGAGCTTTTGGGCTATGTATACCCATCCAGAAGTCCAGTTATGCCTTGTCCATTTCCTGGCAAAATGATTCACCTTTGTCCTTTGAGACATTGCTGTGCTCTGCACAGACAACAACAATGTGGTCGGCACTTGTGATCCTGGAATCCTTTTGATTCTATGAGCACACACTTATATTTCAGAATAATATTAGGGGAAATCTGCACTGTGGAAGTGAGTTCTTTCCCAGGAGAAAGGTGGTGAATGAAGATTTTATGGCATATCTTGCAACAGAAAAAGTATTAACTCTGCTGTCCTAGTCAAATTTTTGTAGTGTGCATAGGATAATGGAGCCTCAATTCTGACTATGGCATGTGGGTTTCAATAATCTCTCTCTATACACATAAAACATTTTTCCTATGGGACAACAGAGTGTTGTCATCATGTCACTCTGCATCCCACAGGAACAAGTCCCATCCACCCCCAGTCTGGCCCTTCCCTATGTGGAGGGCTAGGGATCCTATGGCTGAGCCTTCCTCTCCCCTCCCCTTCGCAGTGGCCCGGGGTGGGGGGAAAACCAGGCCTGGTGCGGCTCCGGGAGGGGGGGAATAGACCCAGCCCCTCCTGGCGGGCTGGGGGGGAAATCGGGCCCAACACAGCCAATCTAAATCCCCACCAAAAACAGCCTGCTCTATTCCAAACTTCAGAGGGGTAGCTGAGTTAGTCTGTAATGGGAAAAACTTAAATGACAAATAGTCTAGCAGCACCTTAAAGACTAACAAAATATGTAGATGGTATCATGAGCTTTCGTGGGTACAACCCACTTCTTCAGATGAAAAACTAAACTGTTCTGGAGTGTTGTTGAATGCTAATAGCCAGCACATTGCTTACTCTGAAGATGTAGGTATGTGTGTAAAGAAAAGTGATTCCTGCCAATGTAAAGTTTATACAATGATTTAGGATCTGCAAGATATCTTGCAACTAACTCATTAAGAATCTCTTATTGTAGTCTCAATTTCAAGACTGCTTTATTACCCTTGAATTTATTCACCAAAGAAAATGTATTATCTCAGATATTGAAGCCTTCAAATACTTTGAAGACCCCAAGATGCAGAGAATCCTCTAGCTGTGATCTGTACCCCATGCTACAGAGGAAGGCGAAAAACCTCCAGGGCCTCTGCCAATCTACCCTGGAGGAAAATTCCTTCCCGACCCCAAATATGGCGATCAGCTAAACCCTGAGCATGTGGGCAAGACTCACCAGACACGACACCCAGAAAGTTCTCTATAGTAACTCCTATCATCCCTCCATTGACCTATTTCCCACTGATAATGAATGGTCAACTAGATACCAAGATCCTGTTATCTCATCAAACCATCCCCTTCATAAACCCATCTAGTTTAATCTTGAAACCAGATAGATCTTTTGCCCCCACTACTTCCCTTGGAAGGCCGTTCCAGAACCTCACTCCTCTAATGGTTAGAAACCTTCGTCTAATCTCAAGTCTAAACTTCCTACTAGCCAGCTTATATCCATTTGTTCTTGTGTCCACATTGGTATTAAACTTAAATAATTCCTCTCCCTCCCTGGTATTTATCCCTCTAATATATTTAAAAAGTGCAATCATGTCTCCCCTCAGCCTTCTTTTGGTTAAAGTAAACAAGCCAAGCTCCTTGAGTCTCCTTTCATAAGACAGGTTTTCCATTCCTCGGATCATCCTAGTGGCTCTTCTTTGTACCTGTTCCAGTTTGAATTCATCCTTCTTAAACATGGGAGACCAGAACTGCACACAGTATTCCAAATGGGGTCTCACCAGTGCCTTGTATAATGGCACTAACACCTCCTTATCCCTACTGGAAATACCTCGCCTAATACATCCCAAGATCGTATTAGCCTTTTTCACGGCCATGTCACAATGGCGGCTCATAGTCATTCTATAATCAACCAGGACTCCGAGGTCCTTCTCTTCCTCCGTTACTTCCAACTGATGTGTCCCCAGCTTATAACTAAAATTCTTGTTATTAATCCCTAAATGCATAACCTTACACTTCTCACTATTAAATTTCATCCTATTGCTATCACTCCAATTTACAAGATCATCCAGATCTTCCTGTATGATATCCCGATCCTTTTCTGAATTGGCAATAGCTCCCAGCTTTGTGTCATCCGCAAATTTTATTCGGACACTTCCACTTTTGGTGCCAAGATCAGCAATAAAAAGATTAAATAAAATTGGCTCCAAAACTGATCCCTGAGGAACTCCGCTAGTAACCTTCCTCCAACCTGACAGTTCACCTTTCAATATGACCCGCTGTAGTCTCCCCTTTAACCAGTTGCTTATCCACCTCTCAACTTTCATATTAATCCCTATCTTTTCCAATTTAACCAATAATTCCCCATGTGGTACTGTATCAAATGCCTTACTAAAGTCGAGGTAGATTAGATCCACTTCATTTCCTTTATCTAAAAAATCTGTTACCAAAATCTCCTTTGCCAATGCAAGCTTTCCCTTGTCAAAACTCTTCCATTTCATGTGAACGCAATCTCTGTGTGCATTAAGGCAGCAGGACAGTCTGTCCTTTTCGTAGCTTCTGGGGTAGCCGAGTTAGATCATCTGAAGAAGTGGGTTGTGCCCACGAAAGCTCATGATACAGTCTACATGTTTTGTTAGTCTATAAAGTGCTACCAGACCAGTTTTTGTTTTTTAAGTTTGTCCTTTTTGTAAACTTCAAATTCATAAAGGCATGAAGAAATATTCATCAAATCAATGGGACATTCATTTAAATCCCAGGAGTTCAGAGTCCACAGCTGCTGCTGTGGTTTTCATTTTATAAAAAAAAAAGAGAACAACTGGGCCATGCATTCCCAGAGCTCAGAACACAATGGTACTGAGCATTTTGACAGGTATTGGTTTCATGTAGGGTGAAACAATAAGAGCAGAATGCCTACTGTTGGGAATCAGCTAAGTAAAGTCTACAGCTCTGTGTGTGTAAGCATTCAATTATTTGTACAACTAGCTAGTGACACAGAATACTATTCATTTAAATAATGTTATGACTAACATTAAAATATTTTGTACCAGATTTTTAAAATTAATGTGTGTAAAGCACTAGGAAGACATAAAGCATTATACAAAAGCTAAGTTATTCAAGAAGATTACAGAGGGGGCTCTTGTACATTTCAAAAGCAAAACACACGAGGGGAGCACAGGGCCAGCAGGGTGCTTGAGCAGGCCCCCACTGGCCCCGTGCTCTAGATGGCGCTTCCACCTTGGAAATGCAGCAAGATCCGGCGGGGCTCTTGCTACATTTCAAAGGCAGAGGTGCCCTTATCTACTAATCAAATAGTTTATTCGATTAGTTGATTAATCGAAATTTAACATCCTTAGTCTAATCACTGAATACAGAAATGTTTCCTTGAAAAAATGTAATCAAAGTAATAATAATTGTGCAATGACTAATCGTATAATAGGGATATGATGGTTAACCCGTTACCCTGTAAGCCCCACCCCTAATGCTCCCCGCCTGCCATGGTCAAGGGCCTACTCCAACCACGTGGAGCCAGTTTGGACTGTTCCTCCCCCCACTCTTCAGTCAGTTAACTGGTTAAACATTTTTGGTTTTTTAAAAGTGAGGTTTCAGCCTTCCAAAATATCTGCCAGAACATAAACAAAATACTCACCCTCTTTGTCTACTTCTGTCATAGTAACCCACTCCAAGGACACATAGAAGCCACTTCCCTTTGCATCAAGTTCATCTTTTTCTACTCGAAGCAAAAGCCCAGCTACTGAGTGCACATCTGACTTTATAAAGGAAACACTGTGGGCAATAACAAAGGGACTCCCAAGTTCTTCATTAAACATTATCTGTAAAGCACAAAGAAGAAAAAAAGAAAAAGCAGTGAGTGGGAGTGACAGGGGAAGGAGCCCATAGTAGCTACTCTGTTATCCACGAAAAAAGGAATGAGAAAAGTTGACTGAAGCTATGGCAAAGGTTTCTGGATTTCTCTCCCAAATTGGATTACTCATTGGTTTCCACCTCTGATTTATCTGTCCTGCCTCTCCTGACCAGATAGTTTTGAAATTCTTTTTATTATTAAATTTGTATATTAATTAAAGTAGCAGCTAACAGGCCCACTATGCTCAGTACTATGCAAACACAGTAAGATAATGGATACATGATGTGGTTATTTTGATAATAAATCAATCGTGGAAAACAAAATCAGATTTTTAAAATAGCTATCTTAAAATCCAAAGGGTTCCATTACTAGAAAGCTGTAAAAAACTGCATGATAAATGCCAGTTGTTAAATAAAGGAAAGGGATGAAAATAATTATTTTTAAATGGCTGAGATGAGATTATCTTAATCTGTCAATGTAGTTTGAAACTGCCCAATCTGCTCCCATATTTTGATGAAAGATTATCAGAACTGTCTGACGTAGTTTAAATCTTGAATGATACATTTTAATATAGCAGTTACCAAATGAATATGAGATTGTTGCAAAAGAAGTCTGAGCAATTTAAAATGAGCCAGAGATGGGAGCTACAGTAATAGAAACTGTAGTTCTGGAGACTATGTCTTTTTATTCGGTCTGAGGTCAAACACACACTTAAGTTGCACAGTACCAAGATGTTGAAAAAGCTGATCAAGACAAAAAAAAGGGCATAAATATTATAATTCTTTAACGGTGTATATATCTATAACCAGGATTCTGTGAAATCAAACAAAAGAAATTAGAATTGCTTTTTATGAACAAAAATTCAACCTAGTTGGTCCTGAAATCTGATGAGAAGTATGGCATTACTGTAATGCCAAAGTCAATTGTTATAACCTGTTAAAGAAGAATGGTGCACAGAAGGGGAAAGAGAATGGCAAACTGTCAAAACTGTGATTACCAATTTCCAATTCACCCTGATAACTCAAAAGAAAATTCTCTCACATGCTGATAGATCAATGTCATAACAGACAAAACATAAGATGAGGTATTAATTAGCATTTATTACGAACCACTAAATCCCACCACAGGTTGGATCTCTCTGGTTTGGTACCCTTGGGACCTGACTGGTCCCAGATGAGGGATTAGCCCAACAACAGGAGGTAATTTCTGGCCTCCCTACTGCCACCTCCCTCATACACACCCTCCCGCCCCATCGGTCCCAGGCAGCCCACTTGGGTCATGCATCAGATTTCCTAGTTCCCACCCCACCCATGGCAGTGCAGCAACTTCCCAGTTCCTGCTCTCGCCTCCCCCCATGCTGCAGTGTATGGACAGAAAAGCAAAGTCCCTTCAATATTACACACATGGCTTCAGCAGATATATAAATACAGCTTCTTTAACTATATGAATCAAATCATTCTGATCTGGTCCAAATTTGCTTCTTGAACATCTTCTAAAAGAGTAAATTCTGTTTGTTCTTCATTCTGAATTTTTTGTTCTACTTTTTCCAGTCTCCTCGTCCTCAATCATTATTCTTCACCTCTTTCACTTATTTCCCTTATTTATAGTAATACATAGGTACACATATACACTAGGGATGTAAGGGAATAATTGAGTAGTCAAGTCAGAGGCAGGGAGGGGTCGGAGGAGCAGGAGCCGATGCTGGAGAGAGCCAGTTTACAGGCCAGTTCTCCGCAGCTCTGTCTCTACTGTGCCACCCATCCCCACCACCCTCACTGCTGCCTGGGGGGAGAAGGTGAGGGGGGAAAGGGGAGAGCTGCTGCCATAAAACAGACCCTATCCGTGGGGTAGCAGCCTGTGTGCAGAAGGTCCCAACACCTTGCTGGAACCCCCGCACACAGGGGCTGCTGCTGGCTGGGCAGGCAGCTGGGCTCAGTCCCGGCTCATGCTGGGTGCGGGACCAATTCCCGCTGTGGCTCTGCAATTTAAGAGGCAGTAGGAGCTGGGCAACCTGCCCCTCGCTCCCTACTGTGTTTTAAATTACAGAGGCGCAGCGGGGTTTGGTCCCAGACCGACATGGGCTGGGACTGAGCCCGGCTGCCTACCTGCCCAGCTCCTATTACATTTTAAATGCAGAGCCCATGGCTGCCTATCGACTAATCGAGTAGTCGATAAAAATTCTATCAACTACTCGATTAAATACCCACCTCTTAACATCCCTAATATTCACACACATACACCACCATAGAATAATTTCATATATACCAGCAACTTTAACAATTATACATTTTTAAATATTCAGGTGTGTCTTTGATCTATTTCAGTGCTAGAACCCAAAGAACAAATGGTCTTGCAATAATATATTGAATATTAATCCCTAAAAGGAATCAGCAAAATTGTGTGGCACAATCCACTTTCAATGAAATTAGACATCCCTTGATTTCCTTTTAGATCCCTTCCTGAATGGCAGATGCTATAGTGGCAATTAATTGTCTTATATACTTCCAGCATTCTGTTTAACTTTCATTCCTAGGCCTTTGAGTAATCAGTCAACAATTTTACAAAATCTTTAATCTTCCATTAGCTTAAATGGTCTTCCATCTACAGTAATTAATTCTAGGCAATAATCCAGTAAAGTAGGTTCATCAATAGTTATTCTAGTTGCCTTAGTTGTGAACATAAGACTCCAAAAATACCTTCTGTTATAGGAGACTTTTTTATGTGGGTTCACCATAGTTGCATGCATATTGTCATAATGTATTATTTTTAGTCTGTATTTGTTTTTACTAAAGCAAACATATTACACTTCCCTGGGCATGGTGTTTTAGAATTTGCCTTTCCAGGTAGCAGCATATTCCCAATTTAACAGGTACATTTTTTAAAGACTGTCATATTTGAAGAACCTTCTTACAGGATTCTTGGTTGCTGTAGTAAATTATATTTTTATGAATAAGCCAAAGGAAAAAGTGCAGCCAAGCTGCATGTTTCCAGAATCTAATCAAGTATGATTGTGTTTTAGTAAAGTAGCAGCAAGAAGTCTGAAAACTAATAAAGAGAGGGATGATCGTGTGTCACTGAAAATCCACAAGAGAGCATTTAACTTGCAAACTTTTACAGAGCTTATTCTGACTCTAGACTTCTAGAAGAAGGGCTGGCGGGGGGGCAGGGGTGGAAGAAGGGCAATCGGCCGGCGTGGAGAGGGACTTAGCAACACCGCATAACTCTAGCTCATGTGTGCATGTGCAAAACTCATCTGAGGAAGCCGGTTTTGCCCAAGAAAGCTCATAATGCGAGAACGAGAGAGTGTTTTCTCTAAGGTGCCACAGGACTACTCGTTCTTGTTCAAGTCACAGGCTAATGCAGATAGCCCACTGAAACTTTTACATTTGTAATGTTTCTTTTACAATGAAGCAGAGATATTTAAAGTAATATACAGGTATTATTATTCCCACAAAAGATGTATAAACCCAAATTGGCCTCCTTTAAGTGGGGGACAGAATCCAAACCTTCTGGAAGTTAAATAATGGCTAACTAATGGCTAAATAATTTTCTGTGGTATTCTTTAAAGGGATATAAAATCCTGTTTAATCCATTAACTGGTTAAACATTATGTTAGATGAAAACATGGTGGCAGGGCAGGGGACTGTGGTGCCCATGTGTTTGGCACCATCCATATGCCAAAAGAGTGCAACTTTCCCTTCCCAGAGGAGCATGTGAGTGGGAGAAGGGGATGGGGTCCGGGCATAGTGACAGGGCAGAGGCTCAAGCCATGCATCATTGGGGATGAGCAAATGGAGGTTTGCTGCAGAGGCATCAGTTAATAGCTTCCCCTAATTCATCGAGGTTGCCATGCACAATATCAGTCTTCTCTTGAATCACTCAGAGTGATAGGGAGCAGATGTTGACTGAACGTCGCCAGAAACCTGAATTTTAGGTTGCAATGACACCAGATCACTTACTGCTGGCTTAGGGTGGAAAGGTATCCTGCCATGGAGGATGGATTAAGGTAGGCCTCCCTTGTGAGAAGGTTTACAGAGTACCTCTATGAAAGCTTTATGGAGATGTGTAAGGTGGATCCTGTCTTCACACATGTTAAACTGTTCCAGGAAACCTCCTTTGTGAAGGCACAGTGACCGCCACAAATCCCACCCAATTGCTTTAACCCACTTGTAGCATGATAAAAAAAATTCAACTCAACTGAAGTGCCCTTCCCAGCATCAGGGTAGAGATGTTAAATTTAGTTTAATCAACTAATTGACTAGTCGATGGATGTCTTGTTAAGAATTGCATCTGAGATAAGAATTTGGGTGAGAAATACAATTTATAACAACTTTTGTTAGTGTATTAGGCTTAGATGGCATGTTTTCTTTTATTTTTGCTTAGTAACTTACTTTGATCTGCCTATCTTCACTTACAATCACGTAAATCCTATTTTTTATAAGGAATAAAACCACTTTTGTTTATTATCAAACACGGTGTGAATAATTGTTACCTGGGGAGGGATCAACAGCTGAGCATCCCTCTCTCTCTCTCTCTCTCTCTTACAGTGATAAAAGGGAGGGGGGACATCTTTATGAACTTATGCTGTGGTATAACTTTTACACAGAGTAAGACAGACTGCTTTACTTGGGGTTTTGGTCCTACCTGGGGCTGTAATCCTGGGTACTGACAAGATCCTGTAGTTTTATTGGACTACAAAAGGAAGGGGAAAAACCCCTTAGTTATGGATTCCTTAGGGTCAAGAGAGACCAGCACTCCTGGCATCTGTGAAAGGTGGATTACTCAGCCATCTGGGTTGAAGATGTTGAGAACTAACCATAAGTGAGAAATTGTCAGAATCCAGGACTGTAAACTTCCGTTTCAAACTCTGGAAAGCATATTTTTAAGTTTCTTTTGTTTTCTCTTGGGACTGCAGCTCCATTTGCTGTAAGGATCGGGCCTTTTACTATGCAGGAGGTAGAATGAAGC